GAAGCAACTCATTAACGCCATACAGGGTATAGAAAATTACCCCGATCCTAAAATGCGTTTACCACTATCGTGCTGGTTAGTAATATTAAAGTTATTAGACATAAGTATATTAATACTAAAATATTTACATTTACAAAATTAACGTACATAATTTACTATAAAAATATTATTGCGTAATATTTAATATAAAAAATATTTTGTATAATAAATATAATAAGATTACTTTAAATAGTAGTTAGATATTAATTTGTAATAGGTAAATGATTAAATATCCAATACCAATTAGTGATTTAATAGCAGTCATATACCACTAGATAGGGGCACCGTAGCTATTTAAACATAAATATTAAATTTTAAAATATTATATTTAAATTTTAAAGTTTTGTTTTTAATAATCCAAAAGGCATGTAATATATATTTTAATAAATTAATCTAGCAACTTCCACAAATTGAAGGCATGTATACTGGGTAACGTTGCCCGCGAGGGTGCGCCCCTGTGTACCGAAAGTGTGTATAAGGAGAACATAAATCTAGCGGACGGTTATGCCACCGATGGACTGAACTTGATTTGCAGCGACTATACGGAGGACTCGGATAAATGTGCCAAACTCATAATCAAAACACCGAAAAAGTTACCACATCAAAAAACACCCAAATCTATACTACCACCATTTTTTAATATAATGAACTCCATGCCGCATTAATGTAACGTGGCAATTTGTACATGTTGAATTAATTGAATATCATTCCTAATGCTACCGTATTATCAACAATGTTAATATGTTTTGCACACACTAGAGGGTGACAGGGTTAAATATGTGTACTTTGTATTTTAAAACAGAATATCAAAAATCAAATATATTTTTTATAACTTACATACATTAATGATGTAAATTTTACATTGTAAAATGTATAAAACATTTTTAACTAACCAAAACTATTATAAATTTATATCTCATTGTACCGATTATTGTAGAATTAATTTAAGTAAATAAAAATAATTATATTAAAAATATTCATAATAGCATTATGATTTTTAATATTATTAATTCTACATTTATATTAAAATTGTAATAGATACTATAATTAATTTTAAAATTCCGAGATTTATATTGATACTTACATATTTAAAAAATATAATTAAAAACAACTCCGCAATATAAATTATAAATTTTTACATCATACATATTTAATAGATATTTATAAAAAATATCAAAACACAATAACATATAATTAACTAAAAATTGTTTTATAGTATTATTTGCAACACAAAACTGATACAAACTTTCGCAACCAAAACACAATCAATAATAACTAGGTATATACAAAAAGTATATTAACAAAGTTTAGTGTAAAATACGTTATTGAGAAATAACTTGTACTACACCTCCCTATCCATCATAACCTCATCGATAATAGCCTTTCATTTTCCTCAATACAGTCTACCACTCGTTATAATGAACTTCATATAAAAAATAATAATAAATATCTGAATTTAATCCTAAAAATTTTTTAATTAATTAACATTTTATCTTAATTTTTAAAACTGTAAAATAATTGTATAATGTACATTTATAATATTTAAAATTAATTATGAATTAACATATTGGTGTATATTGTGTTTAATTAAATTGTAATAAGCTAATGACACAAATTATTTTTTGTTTGCTGATAATAAAATACACTTGAGACATACACACACAAGTATGTTGACATTGGTACTGTATATACCCGGGGTGTCTATGTCTGGGAAA